TGACATTGTATGATAATGTTTTCTTGCATACCAAATATACCCCCAGTCAGAATCAATTTTGGAATGAGTTTTATTATAAGGATGACAAAATATTGAGGATAACCGATGCAATCGAGCTCAGATTGAACTCCAATGGAGGAAAATGGAAAAGCACCCACACTGGGAAGCTTCGAGAAACAAATTGAAGCAGAGAAAATGATTTTTGCTACCTTACAAAATATCTGTACAATACACTTATACATATGCACAGCTGGCACCGCCTCTAACTCCTTATTGCACTTATAGCCTAAATGTTTACAAAAGTAGCCTATACAAAAATAACCTATGTAAATATAAGGTGAGTACAATGTGGCTAACTATTAAATAATCTCAACATCCTCCCTCAAATTGGAGGTGGGGAATCCACAACCAACTTGCCAAGTAAAAGAGTATGATTGTTGCCTGGCAAAGACTTAGTAAAGTTATCTGCGAGTTGTTCATGAGTAGGAACGTAATGTAATGAAATCAGGCTATCTTGAAGCTTGTCTCTTACAAAATGTAGTCCACTTCTATGTGTTTGGTCCGCTCATGGAATACTGAATTCTTTGCAATGTGAAGTGTTGCTTGGCTGTCACCTATGTTTTAAAAGGCGTTTTCGGGGCGAGCCCCGGGTGAGGCGTACCAAAAATGCCCCGGGGCGATGGTGTGGGGCGAAAGTCTCAAGAGGCATACGCCCCGCAATTTGGGGCGTAAGCCCCGTAATTTGGGGCGTACACCCGGGTGTTCGGGGCGTACGTCCGGGCGTACGCCCGGGCGTTCGGGGCGCATTTTTTTAGTAAGGAGTAAGCCCCAGAGACTTTTTCAAATTAAAATAAAATTTGTTCAATTAGTCCTTCATATAATACCCAAATTCTCAAAGGTGAGTTTGGTAATTACTCAAAAAGTTTAAAAAGGAACTCAAAAGTATTAAATTTAAAAGTAAAGACCTTTTTTATTGATTTAAGCCCTAATTCATGATTTTCCCAAATTTTTATCTTGTCCGCTAGTCTGCTAATATCTCCCAAAAGCAACGAATATTTAATTTATTTTACAAATACAAAGAGAACTATATTTTTCTTCATAGCAGCAAATTCAAAGTTCAAATTGTAGGTTAATCATCCTTTTTGTTTCTCCATATAGAAAACTTTATTCTTTTAGACTCAAATTACTTGTGCTTGTAAGTAACGTATAACAGATTGTTTTGATTAGTTTTTTATGGGGATGGAGCACACATATATATAGTTTTCTTCAATTTTTATGCAATTTTACCTGTTTATAAATATTAATTGTCATTATATTATTTTATAAAATATTAAAAATTAAATACCTATGGGGCTTACGCCCCGCGCCTCGGGGCTTACACTACGCTGAGGCATATGTAAAACGCCCCGCCTTACGCCCACGCCTTTTAAAATACTAGCTGTCACAAAAGACAAGTATGAGCAGAGAAAGAGGTACTGTGAGTTCTTCAAGTAGACGTGCAAGCCAGACCAGTTCCCCAACTACTTTTCTCACTGCTCTATACTCAGCTTCTGATGATGACAAGGAAATGATAGATTGTTTCTTGGATTTTCAACTAATAAGGGTGTCACCAAGCAACACTATGTAACCACTGACAGACTTCCTAGTTTCAGGGAAAGTAGCCCAATCAGAGTCACAAAAGGCTCTTACTCTGTAATCTCCACTGTTGGACAGAAATATGCCTAGAGATAAATTACCTTTCAAGTACCTCAACACATGTACTGCTGCTTTTAGGTGACTATCTCTAGGACTTTGCATGTATTGGCTCAAGTGTTGAACACTATAGGCTATATCAGGCCTAGTTCCTATAAGGAAGTTCAATTTCCCAATTAGTTTCCTATAGTGACTAGGATCTGGAAGTATTATCCCTTCTCCTGCTTTTAACTTCACTATTGGATCAAGAGGTGAAGTCATAACAGAACATCCTATACAATCAAACTCCTTAAGAAGGTCTTGTAATAATAACATCATCTACATACATAGCCACAAAAGTTACTGAATTCCCTTTACCTTTATAGAACAATGAGTAGTCAAACATAGAATGTGTGTAACCTCTAGAACATAGAGCTTCTGTCAATTCGGCATACCACTGTCTACTAGTTTGTTTCAATCCATACATGGATTTGTTCAACTTGTATACTATTCCAGATTGTTCTACAAGTAAATCTGGTGGTGCCTCCATATATACTTCCTCATGTAAGTCACCATGGAGGAATGCCGTGATGACCCGATAGGTCATCTCATATTTTGAAACCTAATTCTGTGATCTGAAATCTTAAAAAATCATGTTTTAACCTCCCTCGATTTACTTGCGTAGTCCGGGCGTCTTTTCGGAAAGATTTTATGTTAAAAACTGATAAAAATAAGAAATTTTACCTTGAAAATTAATTTGAGTTGACTTCGGTCAACTTTTTAAGTAAACGAACTCGGATTCATATTTTGATGATCCCGTTAGGTCCGTATCATAATTTGAGACCTGGGGGTATGCCCGGAATCAAATTCTGAGGTCCCTAGCTCGAGATATTGAATTTTGGTAAAAAAAATAAAAGTTTGAAAGTTTGATGATTTTAAGAATTGACTGATATTTGGTTTTGTTGATACTGGGTCCGTATTTTGGTTTTGGAGCTCGGTACAGTCCACAATAATATTTATGACTTGTTTGTCGAATTTGGTGAGAAACAGAGTTGATTTGATGTGATTCGGACATTCGGTTGTGAAAATAGAAGTTTTAAAGCCTTATTGAAAATTTCCTTTGATTCGGTGTCCGATTCGTAGTTCTAGGCGTTATTTTAGTATTTTGATTGCACGAGCGGATTCGTATGATATTTTTGGACTTGTGTGCACAATTGATTTGGAGCCCCGAGGGCTCGGGCGAGTTTCGGATAGGCTACAAGTGTTTTAAAACTTAGAAAATCTGGGTTTTTTTGTGCTTAAGTTGTTATCTGGTGTCTTCTTCTTCGCGTTCGCGAAGGTACTGTTGCGAACCCGAAGAGTAAACTGGGGCAGGGTGACTTTCTTAATCGCGAACGCGGTAGATGGGTCGCGAACGCGAAGCAATGAGGGCTTTACCCTTCGCGAATGCGAAGCTTTAGGGACCTCGGGGAGGAGTCAGTCATTCTTCTACGTGAACGCGAGCCTTGGCTCGCGAACGCGGAGGCCAGGGGGGAACAGCCTTCGCGAACGCGAAGAAGGCCCCACGCCCAGACCTTAAAAAGAATCAAAACGAGATTTTGCCCATTGTTTCATAAACTCTCCATTAGAGCTCAGCCTAGGTGCGATTTTGAAGAGAAAACTCAACATCAATTCATAGGTTTGTACTCTTTAATTCATTTTCTTCCATTTCTATCATCACCCATTAAATTCCTAGCCCTAATCTTTGTTCTTTCATAGTAGGAAACTAGGGATTTAGGAAGAATTGGGGGGGTTTTGCAAATTGGGGATTTAGACCTCAATTTTGGGTCGAATTTCGAAACTAATTATGTAATCAGGTTCGGGGGTGAACGGATAAATAGATTTTGGTCCGAACCTCGGGTTTTGACCAAGTGGGACCGAGGTCGATTTTTGACTTTTTTGGGGAAAGTTTGGGGAATCTAAATTTATGCATTGTAATTAATTTCTTTAGCAATATTTGATATTATCGAGTCGTTTGTAGATAGATACAAATGGTTTGGAGGTGGATTCTACAGGAAAAGTGGTAATTGAGATGAGTGGCCTTTGGAGCGAGGTAAGTATCCTGGTTAACCTTGACTTGAGGGAATAAGACTTGTTTTGTCTATTTGCTACATGTTTAAATGTTGGGGAACAACGTATATGTGAGGTGACGATTACTTATGCACTGTAGTCGGGTTAAAGCATATGGGCGGGGCTTGGTTTCTTACAATTATAGCTTCCTTTGTTCATGTTATCCATGTTTAGACTAGTATTGTAAATTGATCGTTCTTATCATGTTTACAGATCTTCTAGTGATAATTGAGTATTGATTACGAAGTTGAGGTCGATATTGTGGGACAAAATGTTGAGTATGGCTTGTACTTATTATTCTATCTCCATGTTGTTATTTGTTCATTGCATTATGGTAAGGGAGAGTGTTAATGCACAAAGGGTGATGTCGTGCCATATTATGAGTGTTAATGCACAAAGGGTGATGCCGTGCCATATTGTGGGTGTTAATGAACGAAGGGTGATGCCGTGCCACATTATGAGTGTTAATGCACGAAGGGTGATGCCGTGCCATGTTGTGCGAGTTAATGCATGAAGGTTGATGTCGTGCCATTTCTATTGATTTTAAGGTGAGGTTGAGAGTAAAAGCACGAAGGGTGATGCCGTGCATTTTTCCTTTACTGTATTTACTTGTTCTTATTGGTTCATAGTATATTGGTTGTTCAAGTTACTATTCTGCTGTAGTTCTCTATCTCGTATTCCCATCAACATGTTTCCCCCTCCCAATAGTACATGTTTAGTTGTTATTTGTACATATACTATTAAATTGCACAGGTTTATTATGTGGGTGTCTTGTCATAGTCTCATCACTACTTTGTCGAGGTTAGACTCTACACTTACCAGTACACAGGGTCGGTTGTACTGATACAGTACTCTGTACTTCTTGTGCAGATTTTGGTACCGGTCCTAGCTTATCGTGAGGCTTAGCAGCTTGGATTTGCTGTCAGGAGACTCAAGGTAGATCTGATGGCGTCCGCAGACCCCAGAGTCTCTTACTAGTTTTATCATTTAATGTTTCTTTACTTCAAAACAATATATTTTTCCCTTTTCAGACTCTGTTTGTAGTAAATCATAGTTGCTCGTGAGTTATGACTCCAGATCCGGGGGGTAGTACTTAATGAAGTTTAAATATTATTCCGTACTCGCTGTATTTCATTTTAGCTTATTTGCTATTATTTACTGAATTGAATAAGGATTGACGTAATGATTCTCTAACTCTAGCTTGCCTAGCAAGTGGAATGTTAGGCTCCATCACAGTCCCGGCGGTGGGAATTTCGGATCGTGACAAATGCATTGTTCACATCTAATTGAAACATTTCCCATCCCTTCTTAATTGCTACCCCAATCAGAGTCCTCAATGTTGTCATTTTCACAACAGGTGAAAAAGTCTCAGTGTAATCCACTCCAGCATGTTGAGTGTAACCTTTCACTACCAACCTAGCTTTGAACCTCTCTACACCCCCATCTTCCTTGTGCTTTATCTTATACATCCATTTGCACCCTATGACCCCTTTTCCAACTGGAAGTTGCACTAAATCCCAGGTGTTATTGGCATATAATGCCTCAAATTCTTGGGTCATTGCTGCTTGCCATGCAGGTATAGCAGCTGCCTTTTCATATGAGACCTGCTCACAGTCTAGTGACACATTCTTTATCAAATGTTGACTATCAGTGGCCAAGGCTGTAAAGTCAATGGGTTGCATATCAGGAATAAAAGTGTTAAAAGAAAGAGAATATGTGCTTTGTTCATCTTGAGGTAAAATATTGGTAGGTTGATTTGGGAGTGTATACACATAATCCTTCAGGTAAGCGGGAGGTTTATGAACTCTAGGTGGTCTAATATTTTCTGGAGATGGTTTACTTTGGTTAGAATCAGATGAGCTAGTAGTATTTTGTGGGCTGTTTTTATTTTGGAGTTGTGGAGATGGGATACTAAGTTCAACGCTTAAATGTATCCTGATCACTTCCAGTGTTGTAGTCTTCTGATACAAGTGTTGGTGACACCATATTGTGACTGTGAGGTGATGCAATGGGGGATGCAACAAAATCATTTGAGCTAGAGTCAGTTGGTGCATGGTTTTCTACATTCAGATGCTTTTGAGGTAACGGGAAGGAGAAAACGTCAAAATTAGAGAACATATCATTAGAGTTTGTAAATGGAAAAATATTTTCATGAAACAATACATCTCTTGAAATATGTATTTTTTTGTGGCAAGATTTAATACCTTGTAGCCTTTTGTCCCAAAGGGGTATCCCATAAAAACATGTGGGGTTGATCTAGGTTCAAACTTGTCTTTGTGTGTTTTGAGAGTGGCTGGGAAGCAAAGACAGCCAAAGCTCCTAAGATGTGAATAAAGTGGTTTTTTTCTGGTAGTGTAGTTCATATGGACACTTGTTATTGATAGAGGATGATGGCTTTCTGTTTATTAGGTAAGTTGAGGTTAGGATGGATTCACCTCAATATTGTAAAGGCAGTTTGGATTGATACATCAATGCTCTAGCTGTTTCAAGGAGGTATTTGTGTTTTCTTTCCACTATGCCATTTTGTTGAGGTGTATAAGGGCAGGTCTTTTGGTGTATGATTCCTTTGCTTTGGAAAAACATGGTTAACAAACTCCAGACCATTATCTGTTCTAACTGTCTTAATGGTATTCTGAAATTGATTCTCTACCATGGCAACAAAAGCTTTGATGACATGAAAAGCATTGCTTTTGCAAGTCAGAAGGTGTGTCCATGTAGATCTGTTGTAATCATCTACAACGGTAATAAAATACTTATAGCCATAATGATTTGGAATGTGATAGGGACTCCAGAGGTCTACATGTAATAACTCAAAGGTTTTAAATGTATTTATGGTACTTTGTGGAAAGGGGGATCTGCTCTGCCTGGCCATTGGACAAACATGACAGAAAAATGGTTATTATTTTTGCAAAGGTGGTTGGGATGGCTGATATGCCCCCTATTTTGACAAAAGGCACATGGCCCAATCTATTATGCCATAAAATATCTACACTATATTTCTCAGAAATAGATGCATTTGGAACAGAACTACAAGGTTCATGGTTTTCAGAAGAAGGATAAAAAGAGGCATTTGAAACAGGACATTCATTGTTATTGCATGAAACAATAGTTCCTACAATTGACTGCACTTTATTTCTATTGTGTGTGGAAGTAGTAGTGGATGCACAAGGTGCAGTGTGAGAACTGTGTGATGAAACAGTAGTGTCAAGTGCAGAAGGTAAAACTGAGTTACTTTTGCATGAATTTGAGCAATGAAAGTAAAGGTTTTTCTTGACTTCACCAATCTCCAGTGGCCTCTTCAGTGAAGGGCCCTGTAGAAGAAGACATGAGAATTTTGTGAATAAAACTATGCAATCTAGTTGGACAGTTAGGGAATGAACAGAAATCAGGTTAAACTTGAAACTGGGCTCATAAAGTACTTTTCTTAAAATGAACTTTGGACTAAGAATCACATCACCAATAAGTGTCACCTTCACTTTGTACCCATTAGGCAGTGAGACTAGGTAATGGTATACTAAGGTTTTGATATTGCACAATAATATCTTATTGTAGGTCATGTGGTTTGTAACCCCGAAATCAAGGATCCACGAGTCAACATCTGATTTAGAACATTCACGCAACTGATTACTATGCTCAATAGAAGAAGAACAAGCAACAATACCTGCAAAGTTTACAGCTCCTTCAGTCAGGTTCATGTCTCCTGACTTCTCCCTTGTGTTTCCTATTTGAAGTTTTTCCAAAATGTTGAGAAGCTGTCCATATTGTTCTTGAGTTAGATGCTGCATAATTCTTCCCTGTTCATGAGGACCTCCTTCGATTTCTGAAACATTAGGTCCCTCATTTGGTGTTCCAAATACATTTGATGCAACTCTATTCCCTTTATTGTTGTTGCAGTAACTAGGATACTTTGAGTTCTGAGGGTACCCGTGCAATTTGAAACACTTATCTTTACTGTGTCCTGGCTTCTTACAATACTCACAAAACAGGCGATGCTTGTTCAACGAATATCCTCCTTTATTTGCATTGTTCCCAGCATTGTATCCATTTGTACTATAACTGGTCTTAAAATTGTTATTTCCAGCACTTGCATTAAGAGATGCAGACTCCATCACAAATTCATTGTGCGGCTTAACTTCCTTCTGTTTTTCCTCTTGAATGAGTATGGAAAATGCTTGTGCAATGCTGGGTAGTGGATTCATCATCAGAATACTGCCTCTCACCACAATGTATACCTCATTCAACCCCATTAGGAACTAGATTAATATTCTATCCTATTTTTCCTTGTGCATGTTTACCTTAGCTCCACAAGTACAGGCGCAATTGCATTGAGCGTGTGCATTTAGGGTATTAAGTTCTTCCCAAAGCTTCTTCATTTTGGTGTAGTTGCCATTGATGTCAAAAGTTCCTTGGTTTAAATCATTGATTTCCTTCTGAAGCTGATACAGCTTAGCACTGTTGGTTTGGTCATATCTATCTTCTAATTCCTGCCATAATTCCTTCGCATCCCTAACATATTGTAGACTATCAGCCAAAGCTTTCGATAGTGAGTTGAGAATACACGAAGCGACCATATCGTCGCATCGTTCAGATTGATAAAAAGTGGCATGTCATAGACTTTGGAGGATCATGGGATCAGTCATTGCCCCTTGCAGAGTTTGCCTACAACAATAGCTACCAGTCGAGCATTTAGATGGCTCCCTATGGGGCATTATACGGTAGGCGGTGTCGGTCACCAGTTGGGTGGTTCGAGCCGGGAGAGGCTCGGTTGTTGGGTACAGATCTAGTACAGGATGTCTTGGATAAGTTCAAGATTATTCAGGATAGACTTCGCACAACTCAGTCCAAGCAGAAGAGTTATGTCAACCTTAGAGTTCGTGATGTTGCATTCATGGTCGGAGAGAGAGTGTTGCTCCGGGTATCACCCATGAAGGATGTCATGAGGTTCGGAAAGAAGGGCAAGCTGAGCCCTAGGTATATCAGACCTTTTGAGATTCTGGAGAGACTGGGAGTGGTGCGTACATGCTTGCGTTTCCACCGAGGTTATCAGCAGTTCATCCGGTGTTCCACGTGTCCATGCTCCGAAAGTATCACAGCGATCCGTCCCACGTGTTAGACTTCAGCTCTATCCAGTTGGACACGGATTTGAATTACGAGGAGGAGCCAGTGGCTATTCTAGCCCGACAGGTTCACGAGTTGAGATCAAAGAGTTATCCTTCAGTTCGAGTGCAGTGGAGAGGTCAGCCCGTCGAGGCAGCTACTTGGGAGTCCGAGTCGAACATGCGGAGTATATATCCATATCTTTTCACCAGCCCAAGTACTTTTCTATATCCATTCGAGGACGAACGATTGTTTTAGAGGTGGAGAATGTGATGACCCGATAGGTCATCTCATATTTTGAAAATTAATTTTATGATCCGAAGCCTTAAAAAATCATGTTTTAGCCTTTCTCAATTTGCGTGCGCAGTCCGGGCATATCTCCAGAAAGCTTTTATGTTAAAAACTGATAAAACTAAGAATTTTTGCCTTAAAAATTAATTTGAGTTGACTTTGGTCAACTTTTTGAGTAAACGGACCCGGATCCGTATTTTGACAGTCCCAGTAGGTCCATATCATAATTTGGGACCTCGGCGTATGCCCTAAATCGAATTCCTAGGTCCCTAGCTCGAGATATGGATTTTTGATGAAAAATTAAAAGTTTGAAAGTTTGGTGATTTTAAGAATTGACTGATGTTTGGTCTTGTTGATACCGGTTCCGTATTTTAGTTTTGGAGCTCGGTACAGGTCCACAATAATATTTATGACTTTTCTATCGAATTGGGTGAGAAACGGAGTTGATTTGATGTGATTCGGACGTTCGGTTGTGAAAATAGAAGTTTTAAAGCCTTCTTGAAAATTTCCTTTGATTCAGTGTCCAATTCGTAGTTCTATGCGTTATTTTAGTGTTTTGATTGCGTGAGCGAGTTCGTATGATATTTTTGGACTTGTGTGCATAATTGGTTTGGAGCCCCGAGGGCTCGGGCGAGTTTCGGATAGGCTACGAGTGTTTTGAAACGTAGATAATCTGGTTTTTTTTTGTTCTTCAGCTGTTATCTGGTGTCTTCTTCTTCGCGTTCGCGAAGGTACTCTTGCGAACCCAAAGAGTAAACTGGGGCAGGGTGACTTTCTTAATCGCGAACGTGGTAGATAGGTCGCGAACATGAAGCAATGGGGGACTTACCCTTCATGAACACGACCAGCTTCTCGCAAATACGAATCTTTAGGGACTTGGGGGAGGGGTCAGTCATTTTTCTACGAGAACATGTGCCTTGGCTCACGAACGCGGAGGCCATGGGGGAACAACCTTCACGAATGCGAAGAGGAACTCGCGAACGCGAAAGCCGTTTGGGCTGCTGCACATCACGAACGCGGCAGGACCTTCGCGAACGCGAAGAAGGCCTCACGCCCAGACCTTAAAACAGAACCAAAACGAGATTTTACCCATTTTTTCATAAACTCTCCATTAGAGCTTGGCCTAGGTGCAATTTTGAAGACAAACTCAACATCAATTCATAGGTTTGTACTCTTTAACTCATTTTCTTCCATTTCTATCATCACCCATTAAATTCCTAGCCCTAATCTTTGTTCTTTCATGGTAGAAAACTAGGGATTTAGGAAGAATTGGGTTTTTTTTGCAAATTGGAGATTTAGACCTCAATTTGGGATCGGATTTCGAAACTAATTATATAATTGGGCTCGGGGGTGAATGAGTAAATGAATTTTGGTCCGAACCTCGAGTTTTGACCAAGCGGGTCCGAGGTAGATTTTTGACTTTTTGGGAGAAAGTTTGGAGAATCTAAATTTATACATTGTAATTGATTTGTTTAGAAATATTTGATATTATCGAGTCGTTTGTGGATAGATACAAGTGGTTTGGAGGTGGAGTCTAGAGGAAAAGCGGTAATTGAGCATTGAGTGGCCTTTGGAGCGAGTTAAGTGTCGTAGTTAACCTTGAATTGAGGGAATAAGACTTGTTTTGTCTATTTCCTACATGTTTAAATGTTAGGGAACAACGTATATGTGAGGTGGCGAGTACTTATGCGTTGTAGTCGGGTTAAAGCATATTGGCGGGGCTTGATTTCTTGCAATTATAGCTTCTTTTGTTCATGTTATCCATGTTTAGATTAGTATTGTTAAATTGATCGTTCTTATTATATTTACGGATCTTCTGGTGATAATTGAGTATTGATTCCAAAGTTGAGGTCGATATTGTGGGACCAAATGTTAAAGTAAGGCTTGTACTTATTATTCTATCTCCCTGTTGTTATTTGTTCATTGCATTATGGTAAGGGAGAGTGTTAATGCACGAAGGGTGATGCCGTGCCATATTATAAGTGTTAATGCACGAAGGGTGGTGCCGTGCCATATTGTGAGTGTTAATGCACGACGGGTGATGCCATGCCACATTGTGAGTGTTAATGCACGACAGGTGATGCCGTGCCATGTTATGAGAGTTAATGCACGAAGGGTGATGTCGTGTCGTTTCTATTGATTTTGAGGTTGAGAGTAAAAGTACGAAGGGTGATGCCGTGTATTTTTCCTTTACTGTAAGAACTTGTTCTTATTGGTTCATAGTATATTGGCTGTTCAAGTTACCATTCTGCTATAGTTCTCTATCTCGTATTCCCATCAGCATGTTTCCCCCTCCCAATAGTACATGTTTAGTTGTTATTTGTACATATACTATTAAATTGCATAGGTTTATTATGTGTGTGTCTTGTTATAGCCTTGTCACTACTTCATCGAGGTTAGGCTCGACACTTACCAGTACATGAGGTCGGTTGTACTAATACCACACTTTGCACTTCTTGTGCCGATTTTGGTACTTGTCCTAGCTGATCGTGAGGTTTAGCAGCTTGGATTTGCTATCAGGAGACCCGAGGTAGATCTGCTGGCAACCACAGACCTTGGAATCTCTTATTAGTTTTATCATTTACTGTTTCCTTACTTCAAAACAATGTATTTTTCCCTTTTCAGACTCTGTTTGTAGTAAATCATAGTTGCTCGTGAGTTGTGAGTCCAGATCTAGGGGTAGTACTTAATGAAGTTTTAATATTATTCCGCACTCACTGTATTTCATTTTAGCTTATTTGCTGTTATTTACTGAATTGAATTAGGTTTGGCTTAATAATTCTCTAACTCCAGCTTGCCTAGCAAGTGAAATGTTAGGCGCCATCACAGTCCCGACGGTGGGAATTCCGAGTCGTGACAAATGCATTGTTCACATCTAATTGAAACATTTTCCATCCCTTCTTAATTGCTACCCCAATCAGAGTCCTCACTGTTGTCATTTTCACAACAGGTGAAAAAGTCTCAGTGTAATCCACTCCAGCATGTTAAGTGTAACCTTTCACTACCAACCTAGCTTTGAACCTCTCTACACTCCCATCTTCCTTGTGCTTTATCTTATACATCTATTTGCACCCTATGACCCTTTTTCCAACTGGAAGTTGCACTAAATCCCAGGTGTTATTGGCATATAATGCCTCAAATTCGTGGGTCATTGCTGCTTGCCATGCAAGTATAGCAGCTGCTTTTTCATATGAGACCTGCTCACAGTCTAGTAACACATTCTTTATCAAATGTTGACTATCAGTGGCCAAGGCTGTAAAGTCAATGGGTTGCATATCAGGAATAAAAGTATTAAAAGAAAGAGAATATGTGCTTTGTTCATCTTGAGGTAAAATATTGGCAGGTTGATTTGGGATTGTATACACATAATCCTTCTGGTAAGTGTAAAATTAATTAACTCTAGGTGGTGTGATATTTTTTTGAGATGGGGTGCTTTAGTTAGAATCAGATGAGCTAGTAATATTTGTGAGCACATAAGTTTTGACTATATTTGAAATTTTATCACCTTATACTATATAAATATTTTTGGAAATTTAATATATATATATATATATA